TAGTAGTAGTAGTAGTAGTAGCAGTAGTAGTAGTAGTAGTAGTAGTAGTCGTAGTAGTAGTAGTAGTAGTAGTTGTAGTTGTAGTAGTAGTAGTAGTCGTCGTAGTAGTAGTAGTAGTAGTAGTAGTAGTAGTAGTACCAGTAGTAGTAGTAGAGTGGGGATACACATAGGTAGTAGTACTAGTAGTTCGAGAAATAATACAAGGAGGAAAAGCATAAGTACTACAGGTAGTACAAGTACTCGTACGAGTAGTAGTACAGAGTAGTAGCACCATGGAAGTAGAAGTACTAGTAATACGTGTACTACTGCTTGACTAGTAGTAATGCCATTGGTAGTACAATTTGCAGAACAAGTAGTAGCAGGAGTAGTCGTAGAAGTAGCAGTAGTCGTAGCAGTAGTAGTAGTAGTAGTAGTAGTAGTAGTAGTAGTAGTAGTAGTAGTAGTAGTCTTAGTCGTAGTCGTAGTCGTAGTAGTCGTAGTAGTCGTAGTAGTCGTAGTAGTCGTAGTAGTAGTAGTAGTAGTAGTAGTAGTAGTAGTAGTAGTAGTAGTAGTAGTAGTAGTAGTAGTAGTATCGTAGTAGTAGTAGTAGTAGTCGTCGTAGTAGTAGTAGTAGTATTAGTAGTAGTAGTAGTAGTAGTAGTAGTAGTAGTAGTAGTAGTAGTAGTAGTAGTAGTAGTAGTAGTAGTAGTAGTAGTAGTAGTAGTAGTAGTAGTAGTAGTAGTAGTAGTAGTAGTAGTTGTAGTAGTAGTAGTAGTAGTAGTAGTAGTAGTAGTAGTAGTCGTACCAATGCTACTAGTAGCACTCGTCAGGATGGGAGGGCCCGCGGCCCGCATGGACGTCCGCGCGCGATGTGCGCCGCGTCCTATTCCTGCCACATATTCCGCACCGTCGGCGACAAGGCAGGCCATGCTGAGAGGAAAAAACGAAGACTTTGTATTGATTTTTCATAGTCAGGGTGGGCGGGCCCAGATTGACTGCCGCGCGCGATGTGCGCCGCGTCCCATTCCTGCCACGCTTTTCGCATCGGCGACGACGAGAAAGACGATGATGAGAAGAAAAACGGCCACTTTGTATTGATTTTTTAAAGTCCAGATGGGAGGTCCCGGATTGGGTCGCTATCGGCCGGGATACGAGGCAGGTGGGGGTATATTGTAAGAAGGGAACAAGGATGGTGTGGGGTGGGGGTGTGGTGGGGTGGGGGTGGGGTGGGGTGGGGTGGGGGTGGGGTGGGTGGGTTGGGTGGTGTTGTGGTGTGTGTGTGGTGGTGAGTGGTGGTGGTGTGTGGGGGGGGGTGAAAGGGGGGGGGCGCGGGGGGGCGGCGTGCGGAAGCCGCCACTGGGGCCTTTATGTTGAGCTCCTTATGAGGCCGCGGAAGCGCTGTGCTGGTGGGTGGTGCGGGGTGGGGCGGGGTGGGATGGGTGGCGTGGGGGCGGGTGGGTGGGTGGAAAGGCGGGGGGGAGGGGGCGCATGCGAACGCCGCCACTGGGGCCTTTAAAGTGGTGCTCCCTGTGGGGCCACGAAGCGCTGTGTTGGGTGGGTGGATGGGGGCTGGGGTGGGTGGGATGGGGTCGGGTGGGGGGTTGGGTTGGGTTGGGTTGGGTTGGGTTGGGTTGGGTTGGGTTGGGTTGGGTTGGGTTGGGTTGGGTTGGGTTGGGTTGGGTTGGGTTGTGTTGTGTTGTGTTTGTGTTGTGTTGTGTTGTGTTGTGTTGTGTTGTGTTGTGTTGTGTTGTGTTGTGTTGTGTTGTGTTGTGTTGTGTTGTGTTGTGTTGTGTTGTGTTGTGTTGTGTTGTGTTGTGTTGTGTTGTGTTGTGTTGTGTTGTGTTGTGTTGTATTGTGTTGTGTTGTGTTGTGTTGTGTTGTGTTGTGTTGTGTTGTGTTGTGTTGTGTTGTGTTGTGTTGTGTTGTGTTGTGTTGTGGTGTGTGTGTGTGTGGTGTGTGTGTGGTGTGTGTGTGTGTGTGTTGTGTGTGTGTGTGTGTGTGTGTGTGTGTGTGTGTGTGTGTGGTGTGTGTGTGTGTTTGTGTGTGTGGGATTGTGTGTGGGGGTGGTGGGTGTGGGATGTGGTGGTGGTGGGGTGGGTGGGGGGGGGGGGGGGGCGTTGCGAACGCCGCAACGGGGGCCTTGTGGGGCTCCCTATGGCGACCGCGGAACGCTGTGCTGGTGGGGTGGCGGGTGTGGGGTGGGTGGGGTGGGTGGGTGGGGGTGGTGGTGGTGTGGGGTGGTGGTGTTGTGGTGGTGGTGGTGTTGGGGTGGCGGTGGTTGTGGTGGTGGTGGTGGTGGTGTTGTGGCGGGTGGTGGGTGTTTGTGTTTGTGTTGTGTTGTGTTGTGTTGTGTTGTGTTGTGTTGTGTTGTGTTGTGTTGTGTTGTGTGGTGTGGTGTGGTGTGGTGTGGTGTTGTGTTGTGTTGTGTTGTGTTGTGTTGTGTTGTGTTGTGTTGTGTTGTGTTGTGTTGTGTTGTGTTGTGTTGTGTTGTGTTGTGTTGTGTGTGGGTCTGTGTGTGTGTGTGTGTGTGTGTGCGCATGTGGGCGCCGCCGCTGAGGTCTTTCGTGGAGCTCCCTGCGGGGCCACGACACGCTGTGCTGGAGGGTGGGGGGCGCGTGCGAACGCCTCCTGTGGGGCCACGAAACGCTGTGCTGGGTGGGGGAGGCGCATGCGAACACCGCCGCTGGGGCCTTAGGTGGGGCTCCCTGTGGGGCCGCGAAGCGCTGTGCTGGGTGGGGGAGACGCATGCGAACATCGACGCCGAGGTCTTAGGTGGAGCTCCGTATGGGGCCACGAAGTGCTGTGCTGGTGGGTGGTGTGGGTGGGCGGGGTGGGGGGGTGGGTGGGGCGTGTGGGTTGGGGGGGGGGGGGGGCGGGGCGCATTGCGAACGCCGCCACTGGGGCCTTTAAGCGGGCTCCCTGTGGGGCACGAAGCGCTGTGCTGGGTTGGGGTGGGGTGGGGTGGGGCGGGGGTGGGGGGCGCATGGGAACGCCGCCACTTGGGCCTTAAAGTGGTGGGCTCCCTGTGGGCCACGAAGCGCTGTGTTGGGTGGGAGGCGCATGCGAACACCGCCACTGGGGCTTAGGTTGGGCTCCCTATGGTGACCGCGGAACGCTGTGCTGGGTGGGGTGGTGCGGTGGGGGGTGGGGTGGGGGGGTGGGGGGGGGTGGGGGGTGGGGGGGTGGGCGGGGGGCGCGTGCGGACACCGCCGCTGGGGCCTTTGGTAGAGCTCCCTACGGGGCCACGGAACGCTGTGCTGGATGGGGGAGACGCATGCGAACACCGCCACTGGGGCCTTAGGTGGGGCCTCCTGTGGGGCCACGAAACGCCGTACCGGGTGAGGAAGGCGCATGCGAGCACCGCCACTGAGGCCTTAGGTGGAGCTTCTATGGGGCCATGATGATGGTGCTGCTGGTGATGATGATGACGATGTCGATGGCGATGATGATGATGCTGCTGATGATGATGATGATGTGATGATGATGATGATAATGATGATGATGATGATGATGATGATGATGATGATGATGATGATGATGATGATGATGATGATGATGATGATGATGATGATGATGATGATGATGATGATGGTGTTGATGATGGTTCTGATGCTGATACTGATGATGATGACGGTGGCGGCGAGGAGGGCAAAAGGCAGGGAGGGGGAGGAGGGAGGAGGGGGAGGAATAATGAAGGAACACAACGCGATGATTGGGAACACCCCCTATCCCCTCTTGGCGTTTTTTTTTGTTGTTGTTTTTTTTTTTGGGGGTTGTTTTCCCCCTCCCAAGCGGCGACGGGGGGAGAGGGAACTCGTCCTTTCTCCTCCGCCTCCTCCTGCCCCTTCGCTGTGGCCTCGGAAAAGGGGGGGGAGAGGGGGTGGAAACAAAATCCCCCACCCGTCTTGGCGTTTTTTTGTCCCCCCCCCCCAGAGACGCCACAGGAGGAACATGTACCACTGCCGCCCACAAGGGGGGAACAGGGGGGAGGGGAGCTCCGTCCCTTCTCCTCCGCCTCCTTCTGTCCCCTCGCAGCGGCCTCGGAGAAGGGGTGACGTCCCCCCAACCCTCTTTGTTTTGTTCTGTTGTTATTGTTGCTGTGCCTCCCGCCAAAACGGACGCGCACAGGGAGAAAGTGTACCACTGCCGTCCACGAGGGGGGGAGGGAGGAGGGGAGCTCCGTCCCTTCTCCTCCGCCTCCTCCTGTCGTTTCGCGGCGGCGTCGGAGAGGGGGGGGGATATCCCCCAACCCTCTTGGCGTTTTTTGTGTGTTGTTTTCCCCTTCCCGCCCCAAGAGACGCAACAGGAGGACCGTGTACCACTGTCGTCCACGGAGGGGGAAGGGGGGGGGAGCTCCGTCCCTTCTCCTCCGCCTCTTCCTGTCCTCTCGCGGTGGCCTCGGAGTGGGGGGGGACATACAATCCCCCAACCCCCTTGGCTTTTCCTTCTTCTTCTTCTCCTTCTTCTTCTTCTCCCCCCAGAAAGAAACGCCACGGGAGGAATGTGTATCACTGCCGTCCATGCAGGGGGAAGAGGGGGGGAGCTCCGTCCCTTCTCCTCCGCTTTTTTGTTTCCCTTCCTCCTTCTCCTTCTCTGCCTCAGTACTCCCCTCGTTGTCCCCTCCTCCTTCGCCTGTCCCCTCCTCGTCGCTCCCTCCTCCTTCGCCTCTCCCCTCCTCGCCTTCCCCTTCCTTTCCGCGCCCCCCCAAACCGGCACCCCAGAATCACCCGTTTTGTTTTTTTCGGTAGGTTTCGAGAGTGCATTGCGCGATCGTTCGTAACACGAGGTCGGCCTCGCGGACCAGGGGGCCGTATTCATGTACGTGGCTGGACGCGTCAATTTTGTTGTGGGCTCCCTAGTTTTCGGCTTACTGGGAACTTCGCTGGGCCTCGTGGCCGTCAACACATGGCTCTGTACGTAGGAGAAGCTAGTCCCGAGAAAGGGGTACACACCTCTGGGGAGCCACGCTGCAGCACACATCGCGGCGTCGGATGTTTCGCGTCGTGGTCGGGCTTCTGCAGGCGAGCCCCACGGTGGTCGCGGGCCTCACCAGCGAAGCCAAGCGCGCCTTCGTCACGGCCTCCACGGCCTTCTTGGCGCTCGCGGTCGTCGCCATCGTCGTCGTTGTCGTCGCCGTCCTTAAAACCATCATGTTTGTGATGACGACGTCGGTGTCGATGGTGATGGTGCAGCTGCTGTTGATGCTGATGCTGATGCTGATGACGATGCTGATGCGGCTGATGATAATGCTGATGTGATGATGACGCTAACGATGCTGATGAACATAGCGACGATGACGGCTGTAATGGTGATGATGACGATGACGCTGGTGATGATGATGCTGATAATTGTGATGGCTATGGTTTTAAACATATTCAGGTATATTCGGAGGAGACGGCGGGTGAAGAAGCGGATACGTGTCAAGAGGATAAGGATGAGTATATTACCTAACAGCTTTTGCTGATAGGTTTCTAGTGGGGTCAAAAGAGAGCATCTGGACTCCACAGGGGGGTCTGGGCGGGTGCCAGGGAGGAGAACCGGGAATCGTTTTTCGCCAACAGTCACACACTTCGTGCTCTTCGACCTCCCAGAACTCCATTCCCGGGACACATTCTGGAGAACCGGGAACAGAGCCGGGCTCGCTTTTCGCCAACAGTCACACACTTCGTGCTCTTCGACCTCCCAGAACTCCATTCCCGGGCCACATTCTGGAGAACCGGGAACAGAGCCGGGCTCGTTTTTTCACACAGGCCACACTCTGGAGAACCGGGAACAGAGCCGGGCTCGTTTTTCGTCAACAGTCACACACTTCGTGCTCTTCGACCTCCCAGAACTCCATTCCCGGGCTACATTTTGAGTGGCCGGAGCCAACTGTAGGCCACTTCGTGCTCTTCGAGTGCCCAGAACTCCATTCCCGGGCCACATTTTGATGCTGATGCAGAGGCTGAGAATGGTGATGCTGATGCTGAGGCTGAGGCTGAGGCAGGCAGGCTGAGGCTGATGAGGCTGAGGCAGGCTGAGGCTGAGGCCGAGGCTGAAGGCAGGCTGAGGCAGACGCTGAGGCAGGCTGAGGCTGAGGCAGGCTGAGGCTGAGGCTGAGGCTGAGGCAGGCTGATGCTGAGGCAGGCTGAGGCTGAAGCTGAAGCTGAAGGCAGACTGAGGCTGAGGCAGGCTGAGGCAGACGCTGAGGCAGGCTGATGCTGAGGCAGGCTGAGGCTGAGGCTGAGGCTGAGGCGGATGCAGGCTGATGCTGAGGCAGGCTGAGGCACAGAGGCTGAGGCTGAAGGCAGACTGAGGCTGAGGCTGAAGGCAGGCTGAGGCTGAGGCTGAGGCTGAGACTGAGGCAGGCTGATGCTGAGGCAGGCTGAGGCTGAGGCTGAGGCAGGCTGAGGCTGAGGCTGAGGCTGATGAGGCTGAGGCTGAGGCAGGCTGAGGCAGGCTGAGGCAGGCTGATGCTGAGGCAGGCTGAGGCTGAGGCTGAGGCTGATGCAGGCTGAGGCTGAGGCAGGCTGAGGCTGAGGCCGAGGCTGAAGGCAGACTGAGGCTGAGGCTGAGGCTGAAGCAGGCTGAGGCTGAGGCTGAGGCAGGCTGAGGCTGAGGCTGAGGCAGGCTGATACTGAGGCAGGCTGAGGCTGTGACTGCGACTGCCGCTGCCACTGCGACTGTCATCGCGAATGCGACTGCGACTGTGAGAACAGCAGAACTCTACAACTGGATTCTCATCTGAATCTTAAGGGGAATGCTTCCATATATGCTTCAACACATCGCTGTTAGGTTGCTTTGCCGGGATATTTTTTCGAATTTGGGTTGACGAGGGGGGATAATATGAGGACTCGTACGTTTATATAGATGTGGGAATATACCAGGAGGAAGCGGAGGCTGCTGCTGATGATGCGACTGATGAGGATGCCGACGACGATGTTGATGAGACGATGGCGACGTTCATGATTCCAGGAATGATTCTGGTGCTGAGTATGTTTATGATGATCGTGACGATGACGTGGATTATGATGACTCTGCTGCTTCTGCTGTTGATGATGATGCTGATGCGTGTGGTGATGACGACGACGATGACGATGATGATAATGACAGTGATGACGAGGCTGCTGATGATGACGATTACGATGACGATTGTGATGATAATGATGATGCTGCTGATGCTTGCTGTGATGCTGATGGTGGTTACGACGATGATGATGATGATGCTGATGGTGATGCTGATGATGTTTGTGATGCTGCTGATGATGATTATGGTGGTGACGATGCTGCTGATTTCGATGCTGAGTACGACGACGATGTTGATGCTGCTGATGATGATGCTGCTGATGATGATAATGATGCCGCCGACGACGAGGATGATGATGATGGGGATGGCGACGATGATGATGGTGATGCTGATAATGCTGATGACGCTGATCAGGACGATACTGCTGCTGACGATGATGGCGATGGTGCTGATGGCGATGCTGATGACGACGATGATGGTGATGATGATGATGATGACGATGATGATGATGATGATGATGCTGATGATGATGATGATGATGCTGGTCAACATGATGATGATGATGATGATGCTGATGATGATGATGATGATGATGAGGGGGATGTTGTTGATGCTGATGATGCTGATGCTGATGCTTCTGTTGATGATGATGCTGCTGATGATGATAATTATCATGATGACGATGATGATGATGCTGCTGCTCCTGCTGCTGCTGCTGATGATGATGATGATGGTGGTGGTGGTGGTGGTGATGATGATGATGATGTTGGTGATGATTATGGTGGTGGTGGTGGTGATGATGGTGACGATGATGATGACGATGATGATGATGCTGATGATGATGATGGTGATGATGGTGGTGGTGGTGGTGATGATGATGATACTGATGATGATGATCATGGTGGTGGTGGTGGTGATGACGATGATGATGATTATGATGATGATGATGATGGTGGTGGTGGTGGTGGTGATGATGATGATGATGAGCACGATGAGCATGATGAGGATGATGATGATGATGATGATGATGATGATGATGATGATGATGATGATGCTGATGATGATGATGATGATGATGATGATGATGATGATGATGATGATGATGATAGTGGTGGTGGTGGTGGTGGTGGTGAGATGGTGGTGGTGC